CCCTTTGTGTTTAGCCTTTAAGTCTGTGGATGTCCCTGATCTTCAAGATAAAGAAAAAGTTGGCAGTGGCCGTGCGGAACTTGGGCTCTGTGTTCCCTGTGGAAGCAGACACAGCTAGCATGTGAGCCACATATAAATTTCTTCTTTTTTACTTTGTTGGAGTTTGAACTCAGGGTCTTCACACTGAGCCTGGCATTCTTTTTGCTTTTGCTTTCTTTTTGAAACTGGTCTCACTAAATTGTCTAGCTTGGGCTTGAACTAGTGCTCCTCTCTCCTCAGCCTCCCAGAGTGTTGAGATTACAGGCATACATCACTGTGGAATTTTAAGTTTTTAGCAGCTCATTTAAAAAATGGGTGTGTGGCACATGCCTGTATAATCTCAGCTACTTAGGATTGCAGGTTCAAGACCAGCTAGAGCAGCTTAGCAAGACCCATCTCCAAAGAAGAATAAAGTGAAAGTGGGAAAAGTTAAATTTTACGCTTTTATACGAATGTCATTTTAGTATGTCATTGTCCTAGATACTGTTGGCAGAAGATCTCTTTCTTCTTTGTGTGAAGTCTTCGGAGTCACCCATGTGAGCCTCACTCAGACGCTCGGTGCCATATTCTGGCTGGACCCCAGGATCCTGCTCTTGTCATAGCTGCCTGAAAGAGTCTTGGGGCTGAAGGCATGGAATGTTGTTATGCTTGTTCATTGAAACCTCCCTGCTGTCGCTTGGACTTGGGGCTGGCAGCATGTCTGTGTGGGAAGCTGGCTTTGCTCTTGCTCAGTTCTTTCCTGACTGGAGCCATCTTCTGATGCAGCTGGGATCTGCGCTTTGCAGAGAGCCACACTCTTGTTGCTCTGCGTCCTATTGTCTACGCGAGAGGCCTAGAAGTATTACATGCCCTGTGTCTTCCTGGTTGGTTTAAAAATACAAAAGGAGGACTACAAGTCCTTGTCCATTATGCTGTGCCCAGAATGGGAGACCTTTTGGGGAGCCAGCCTCTCTGGGATCGTGCAGGTGCACGTCTGGTGATGGCCCAGCGTCCCTCGCCCCCTGTATGTTCAGGGTTGTCACTGTTGCCACAGAGTGGATCTGGGCTGCTCCCTATAGGAGTATAGGCTCATTTTCCAGTGGGCGGGAGAAGGTGCTCCACAGAGCAGTCTGTGGCCCTCGTGAATGGACCCAGTAGTCAAGGTTTTATCCCAGCTCTGTCATGAATTCCTCCTTGGTGCATCCTCAGGTTCATGTATTAAGATAAAGGTCACCAATGACTAGCTGGGCTTCCAGTATCTTGACTCCCCAGCATCCAGGGATGGTTGTCTGTATGCCACCAAGGACGTGGGTCACCATGCCAGCTATGGAAGAGGTGCTGTGGGTCTGCAATAGGAACTTGCTTCCCTTGGAAGTGCCCCTAACCTGCCAGTGGGACTGCAGATCATTTTGTTGTGGCCACACCATCATCATGTTGCTCTCTCCTGATCTGTCTCTGTCTCCTGATCCAACTCCATCTCCACAGCAACCCAGCCCCTCTTTGGCCCCACTTCATGCTGTGAATCACCTTTTTTTTGGTCATTGCCAGCAGTTACCAACTTTCCCACCTCAATTCCCGGCACCTGCAGGGTGGGAGCTGGGGGACTACACAGGCTCTGGTAGACCCCCAAGGCTCTTCTGACCTGAGACAGGGCTTCCACACGAGCAGGTCTCCTGAGAACACACTTCTCAAGGGTGGTTGTGCCGTCTCATGATGAGGAAGGTGAGGCTGTTCCCTGGCAGAGTCCTGGAGTAGAGATATCCATCCCATTCCTGTGTTGGCCCTAGGGGCTCGCTCTACGTTTTCCAGCAGCTGTTAGCTGTCCTAGATATCATAAAGCTACCACCACCATGAGGCTAAATTAGCGGTGGTTAATTTAGTAAGGAAGTGGGAAGAGCTGCCTGAACTGGTACAGACAAGCCACATGAGGGCGCTAGAGTGCTGCTGCAGAACTTAGGAATTCACTGTAATTTGCAAAAGGTGGAGCTGATTCTGTGCTGTCATTAATGGAGTCTCAGTCTCCCTCCTACACCTTCTTCACTGCCCAAAGGATGAGCTGGCAGGGAGTGTCCTATGAAGGTCATACTATCCTATTCCTGATGGTTAGTGGGCCCAGAGTCTCTGTCATTGTTCTCCTTGGGACGGAATGTGGTACCAAGTGGCACAGGTCCTCAGGTAACCAGAAATGATTGCTAGTTGCTTTTCTGGTCACACCATTACATACACTGTACCACAGAGCTGTGGCCTGTGTAGGTGCCCCCTGCAGTGGCTGGACCCAACCCCCTCCCCCAGCCTTCTTAGCTCCATAAGAACCCTGATGCAGAGACAGAGGTCTCCTGGACTCCTGACATCTAGGAAGTGTTGCAGAACAGCAGTGGTAGAGAATAAGGTTAGGATGCTGCACTCCAGCCTTCAGGTCCTCACCTCCGGCCCTGTAGCTGATCTTCCCTGACACTGAGTGGCATACCCTGCCCCAAGCACGTGGATACCAAAGGTGCCCCCATGACTGCTCAAGGACGTACTTTGGAGCTGTGACAAGCTACCTTCTTTTTCTTTGAACAGTGATGGTCATGATGTGAGAGTGAATGAGTAATTACACTGAGATTGGGAGTGGGTTCTGTGTTTATCTGTTTTAAGATCACCTCTGTGGAGCAGTAGTTTAGCTATAACAAGAGCCCCTACCCCTTAGGTGGAGAGCAGATGTTCCTTTAGAACATTGGAGGTTATGTTTTATAGGATCAGGGAGTTGGGAATGCTGGGAGAGAGTTGGTGATTGCCTGTGTCCCTCATGTTGGCATATATTTCTTTCATGTGCCTGTGTTGCTAATGTCTTGGAAGCCTCTGATTAGGGTCAGCATTCTTTTATGGGGGAGGGGCCTCAAAGTCAGTAAGGAAGGGACCTGAGAAGTGCCAGCTAAGAATTTGTTTTAAAATTGCCCGTGCCTTTATTTGGGTCTGTGTGGTATTCCATGGTTGCTGTCCTTCACAGGAGCTTTAGAGAAGCTCCCTGAACTTCTCTTATGAATGTGGACAGTTTACACTTCTCTTGAGACTGCTCATGCTGAGCATCATTTCATGTGCCTCTCTTACTTGAAGAACTATCCAAACCCTTTGCTCAGCTTTTCAATTGGTGGTCTTTATTGTTGCAAATCATCCAAATTCAAAAGGCATATCTGCCCAACTCTCAAAAGTTTAAGTGATAAATACTTTGTAGATTGTTAAAATTTAGATGTTCGTCCAGAGCTTCTGTTGGTCTTTCCATTAGCAGGTGGTAACTGTAGGACACTGGGCCCAACCTTTATCAGCCCTTCCAGCCTGGCTCTCTGCCTGTTGGACAACTGACTTTTCAGGAAACATCCATTAGCCAGGTGCTTGTGATCGTGCTAAGGGATTGCCCTGACCCCCGACTTGTGGGTCCCTGGTCGCAAGCACAGGATATGCTGCTGATAGGCCTGGTTAGCACATGTTGGAGCTCAGTATGGTTCCATGAGTCCTGGATGTGCTGGAGGCTCTGCGCAAAGGCTGACTGAATGCCAGCATAGGATACAGGCCCTGAGGGCTGTGTGAAGATGACATATACCTGTTACTTTCAGTTCTCCTTGCAGGGCTTTGGCCCCATTCTTGGCTTGAGCTGTTTCAGACTTCCATCATTTCCGTTGGTAGTGTGCCTGAGGCTCAGGTGGGATGGGAACACCAGCTTTAGGAAGGCAGGTCCTGACTGTGGAGTTCCACCTGGGCTTGGGCTGCACTGAGAACTGGGTGACTTCAGGCTGTAACAGTTCCTTCATACCCTCCTAGAAAATGGAGTATATAGTAGATTTCCAGGTTGATTGGTGTGTGATGTGCATAAAGTGCTGTGTGTTCATCTTTCAAAATGCCCTTTAATTCGCTAATTTGTGTGAGTGCTTACGAATGTGGTTTCCACAGAATACATCATGAAGCGAGTGATACTGTTCTGGTGGCTAAGTGTTCAGTAATGGTTTCTAATGGGTCCTCATGAGCTGAGTGCACAGAAGGCAGAGCTACAGTTCTGTCCTAGAAATTGTACTCCATGAGATGTAGCGCATACCTTCCTCCTAGGATGCTTGAAATGAAGTTAAGAGTTGGCACCTTTTATGTTAATAACTGTGTGAGGCTCCATGAGACAGAAGTATTTTGATCTGCAGCTTGTATAGCTCACCTCCCATAATGCCTTTGTCTGCTCATAGCGCCCCATCTTAACCATAACTTCACATCTTGCACCAACCATACCTCTTATCTCTATTCATCCTAACCTTAAATTCCTCCCACTGACCTTGACCAGAATTCTTACCCTGACCTTGACTTGTCACATAGTACATCTGTCTCTGTACCAACTTTCTTCTCCCTACACTAACCTTGACCCTCTCACACTGACCTTGACCTATTTTTTTGGGTCTTGACTTTCTTGCTGTGTTAGCTTTATTTTTCTGTGACAAAATACCTGAGATAAACAACTTACAGAAGGAAAAGATTTATTTTGTTTCATGCTTTCAAAGGTTTCAGTCCATGGTCTCCAGGCTGTAATGCAGAACCACAACGTGGGGCATGGCGGAGGAAAGCTGCTCATTGCTTGGCAGCCAGAAAATAGAGTGAGGGAAAAGGCCAGCAAGGAGCAGCAGACAAAAGCACACTCGTCAAGGACACTTTCCACCAGTGATCTGCATCAACAGTTAGGCCCCACCTTCCACTAAGCCCATTCAGCTAGTGAACTAACTCATCAGTGGATTAATCTACTTGGTGAAATAGATTAATCTCCCACTCCAGTTAATTCCCAAGGTCCATCACATAGTAATCAAGTAGGCCTTCTGCAGGATGTCTTGGATCCCACCCATAACAACTGGTCTCTTGGGTCCCCTCCCTGCCTGCACTGATATGACCTGTTCATTCCACATCCTTATCTGTCTCTTCCTGAACCTCAGTCTGCTAACCTAGCTTAGGTGACTCTCTTCCTCTCTCCCTAGACTTTGATCTGCACCACTTCTGGCACTGGAGCAGCTTCGCTGACTATGTGCAGTGTGTCCTGGCCTTCACAGGTGTGGCGGGCTATATCACCTACCTGTCCATCGACTCAGCTGTGTTTGTGGAGACGCTGGGCTTTCTGGCCGTGCTGACCGAGGCCATGCTGGGTGTGCCACAGCTGTACCGCAACTACTGCCACCGTTCAACAGAGGGCATGAGGTAGGGGTGCCGCCGTGGAGGCTTCCACACTTCTCTGACACTGTCTGAGTACCTGTAGATACTGGTGGACATACCAGTCCTTCAGCCTTTTTTTTTTTTTTTTCTTCTGTATTTTAGGGAAGGGTCTACAGGGTGTTCAGGCTCTTACTACTAGATCAGACTTGTAGTGATCCGCCTGTTTACAGCCTCCCAAGAGCTGGGATTATAGGCGCACGCCACCATGCCCAGTCTCAATTGATGTCTCAGTGTGTCCCCAGGGCGGGGCCAGCACAGCAGGCCCTGGGATTGAACCCCAGCCCCTGCGCCTGCTTGCAGGTGCTTTAATTCACTGAGCTATTTGGCTGACCCTCCTTCGGCCTTTTCCTGGGTGGATGCATTCATGTGATGTGGGGTGAGAGAGCTCTCTGCTGAGGTGATGGTGACATGTTAGGGGCTCCTGTAGGCACGTTGTGATTGAGACTTTGAGGAGCAAAATGCCAGCGTGGCTGGATGTGGCAGGTGCCCACAAGACAATGGATAGAGGAGGCTACCCCTCCCATGGCAACCTTCCCGTGGGTGCCATTGTCTCTATATTACCTTAGTGGGACCAATGTGGCCTCCCAGCTGCTAACATGTGGGATGGAGGTGGGCATAAATGCAGTCAGGACCAGGCTGAGGTAGCACTGCCTGTGCCAGGCAGGAACAAGCTCCAGTGTCTGATGCATCACTGACGTAGGTTCACTGGAGACACTGGAGGACAAGTTTTGCCCAAAATAGACCAACTGTTGAAGAGGAGGAAGTAGACCAGCCTGGTTAGCTCAGTACCCTAGTTCTCACTGAGGACCCCATCCACGTAGGTTTGTATGGGGTTCTCTAGGTGCCCCATACTGGGAGATTCTATAGAATATCTAGTGTACTTGGCCTTATACTCACATACGGAAGTGGTAGTTACACACAGTGTGAAGTCCATTCCAATGGTTGAACTCCTGTTCTTCCCCCTGCTGGTGAGGATCTCTCAGAATGATCTCCCTCGCTAGGAACATGCAGCATGGGGTGTATACTCTGCCCAGTGAAGACCACTGAAAAGGCCCTTCCCATGGGCTAGCATTCTAACTCAGGAAAGTATGTATTCTGTGGAGGCCATGTGGTTTGCCCTTACCTAGTAGAGAGTGTGAGTTCGTGGAGGCAGAGGGGACAGGCTTTTCTCGGGACATGAGCTCAGCCTTAAGTATTATGTCAGTCCTTCCAGTGTACATGAACAGTACGGAGGCCTGACGGGAGGGAGGGAAGGCACAGCTTTTCATATTGTGGCCTGAGGGTACAGTTTCAGTGTGAATGTTGGAGGGACACAAATGGGGCAAAGCCCAGGTTGGCTTCTGAATGTGGACCTGGGAGCTCAGACATGAAAGCGACCTTCTCTGCCTGATAGGGGAACACTCGAGACCACAGCTGCTGCTTCTCAGGCCCTCCTTCTACCTCAGTTCTTGCCTCGGTTTTAGCATCACCGATCAGTGAGTTCTGGGAGCCTGGCAGCTTTTCTTCCAGATCTGAAATGTGTTTCACAAGCCCAGCATTGGATGATAGGGAGCTTTTAGCTTCTGTTTCCAGCTGAGGGCTGTGGCACAGTGGAGAAGGCAACATGGAGCTAGGCAAAGATTGGTGTGCAGAGACCCAGGGCTGCCTGCTGAGGTGGCTTCTTCGGCGGCAGGCACTGGGCTGCTTTGGGTGCTTGCCTGTTCCCACTGCTGCAGGGCTGATGCTCATGCTGAGGTCTTTCTGTGGTTCCCAGAAAGGGCTTTCTTGCTGGGTTGTCTCCGTGTAGGCTGTGAGCGGAGTCCACACGTCTGTCCCTTGTGGGTTCGTGCGCTGTCCCTGCCCCATTCCAGATTCCACTCAAGTTTAGGCACGTGCTGTCTGTGTACCTCCCAGATGCTTGGTGAGCCCATTGGAAAATGTGGCTGGAATCTCTCAGGTCCCCCGTTTTCTCCAGCTGGAGCATTGTGGTACCCATGGATCTGTTGCATTTTTGTGACTCTTGAAGCCGTTGTGGTCGAGGTATGTGAAAATGAGTTTCATAGAGTATCATTACTTCCAGTGTTGGATTTAAAATGATGTATCTAAAACATGGATGGAGGTATAAGCACCTTTAGATGCATAAGAACCAGGAGCTTTGTGACAAGGGGTGACATGACAGTATAAATGTTTTTGTCTCTTTTTCTCCAAGAACCTACTAGCACCTTTGCCCTTGGCTGGGGAGGTTTGGTGCGCTGGAGTCTGTGTCCAGACCTCAGCTTCAGCTGCACCTTAAACAGAAAGTCACTAGGATGCTTAAAACCAGGGAGAGACTTGTGAATTGAGTTGCCTAATTTGAGTAGCCTGGTAACATAGCTCTGTCCTGGAAAAGCCTACCTTAATGGAAATATGTGCACAGATAGGTGCATACATACACCTACACACAGGTGTGGACATGCAGTGTACATCTAGACCCCCACACATATAGATGCATGCACATACATTCATGTGCCCTCTATGTGCACATACTCATGTGTACATCTGTGCCCCCTACTTAGGCACACATATATAAATGAGTGTACATCCTTGCCTACCCATAAGAGTGTGCCAAATAGGCATGTACTTAGACCTATACAGATACATGCGTAAATGCCCATACATGTGCCTCCCTACTACATACACTTATGGACATGAACATACCCCCTAGGCACACATTGTACACACATGGGGCTATATATACATACACATTCCGATACTCATAGGCTTACACCTAGGTGTTTACCTATATAGATGGCTACACACATAAGCATGTACCCCCACATACAGGCACCTGTACAGATGGGTGTGCATATTCACACATGCCCCTTTAACACACCCATGACACATATGCATACCACTTTTTCCAGTGATAAGAAATAATGAAGCTCTTGAAATAACTTTATGAGTAATTGCAGCAAACCCTAAAAGACAAATTCTGTAGGGATGTTTTTATTCTTCTTCCTCCAGGTTTTAATAGATTTGCAGACTGTTCCCTAATAAGTAATTATCAGAGTGCGAGGATGAGTGCAAAAGATAAGAGGGGGCCGAGCATTCAGCAGCCTCCAGATTGGCACTTATTATGGAGGAACAGGGAAGGAATGTGCCAGGGAAGACATGGGAATTGCAGAACTTGGAGGCAGAGACACTGTAGACTGATGGAGGCAGATACCTTGTGTTGGGCTATGGTTGTGAGTAATGGTAGAGGACATACGGTAGAGGACAGGGTGGGTGATGGGAAGTGGATAGGTGTGGCCAGCGCATGGAGGAGGAAGCTGAGGCGCAGGCTACCCTTCGTGGCGATAGTGACTGGACTTCATATTACGTCTGTGTGTTCTTTCAGGGCCATTCCAGCCACTCTGCTTATCTGGGATTTTGGCCTCATGCCCTTGCATGTTGCCTCCAGGAGCTGGTCTGCACCTCAGCTGTCCTGCTCAGGCCCCTAGGATTTGCAGCCCTTTTGCAAGCAGAGCATCTCTTTTTTGCTCTTATAAGAGGCGGACAGATCTGTGAGTAGAAGGTGCTGTGTACCACATGTGTGACTGAGCATGCTCTGGAACACACAGGCTAGTTGCCTTGTCCACTGGAACAGGAAGACTGAAATAAAGAGTTCAGCAAAAGCCCTGGGACATTGAAAATATATAATTTTTAAATAGCTATTGAGCTATAACTCACATGCCATAAGTTAGCAGAAGTGTACTGTTTAATGACCTAGGTGTACACACAGTCTGCATCTGTCAGTCTAATCTTAGAGCATTGTTATCAGCCTAGAAGTTTGAAACCTATTCTCGTTTGCAGTCATTCTCCTTTTGCCCCAGTCCATCTGCCACCACCACCACCACAGCCCACCACTGAGCCACTTTGTCTCTCCCGTTTCTTTTCTGAAGACTTCATATAGATGGAACCCTCCAGTGTTTGGCCCTCAGCCTCTGGCTTTTCCCATAGTGGTGTATTTTCAAGGTCCATCTACATTGTAGATGTGTCAGTTCTATCATTCCTTTTATGGCTGAATAATACTTCATACGAATGTGCAGGTTATGGTGTTATTCATTCTTCAGTCAGTGGACGTTTTTTTGGTTTGGCACCCTTCAGAAAGGCTTTTATGAAAGCCCTGGGGGCAGGGCTGGCACAGCACCACCGGGGATCTAACTGCAGTCCCTGTACTTGCCTAAGTTTGCCTGAAGAGGTGCTGAGCTATCTCGCTGGCCCTCTCTGTCCATTTTTAAATTGGTTATTTATGGGCTTTTAAAAATTACTGTGTTCTAAGTTTTTCAAAAATATATTCTGATATATAATACATATTATATGTAATAGATATTATCAATATATCTTGAGATATATATATTATACATATGTCTTGGATTTTTTTTTTTAATTATAGAGTCTACGGGGGTCTCACTATACAGATTGGACTCCTAGTGATCGTCTTGTTTTCAGCCTTCCAAATGCTGAGATTATAGGTGTACACCACCAAGCCTACTCTCCTTCACTGTCTCAGCGTGCCCCAAGGGCCGGGCCTGCACAGCACACCGGGGATTGACCCCGGTCGCTGTGGGTCACTTAAGTCTGCTGAGCTATCTGGCTAGCCCTATATCTTGGATTTTAAAATGTTTCAAATATATGATTAACAAATATTTTCTCCCATTCTGTGATTATCTTCATTTGTTGCTGGTGTGCTTTACAGCACAAGATTTTAACTTTGATGAGCATAGTGTATCTGTTTTTCTTTTGCTTGTGCTGTTGGTGTCTCCCTAAGAGAGGTTTGTTTAACCCAGGGTCACAGATTGCTTTTAGAAGCCTACTTTGTGGTGAAAGAGCTTGTCACACCCCTTGTCATGGCTGAGGGTGAGATGGGTTGGTATGCCTGTGTAGGCCATGGCCGAAAGGCGGGATGAGCAGGTGCAGGAGCTGGCTCTCATCTTCCTGGCATGAAGAAAGACATTCCAGATGGCTGCCCAGGGTAAGGCTGAGGTGAGGGGTATTTTAGGAACAGTGACCTAACACTCCAGTTTGGAGGAAGAATACTAGAGCGAAGGGTGAGGTAATGAGAACCCAGTTTAAAACGGGTGTGGGGGTGTCAGGCCAAAGGGTGTTGAAGAGGACAGCAGCCACAGTTGGGGACTGAAGAGAGGACTATAACTTATCCCAGGCCACCAGCCCTGAGAGTAAGCCAGAAGTCGAAAAAACTGGACACCAAGTGACAGTCCCCCTCCTACCTGTGCAGGTTCCACCTCATAGGGTCTCCGCTGCAAGGGTGGGCTTCCTGCGCTGTAGGTGTCTCCCCGATTAGAACCACAGTTTCTCCTGTCTAGGGATGGGGGGACTTGAAGGCATGTGGCTCACAACTAATCGACTGGGGCTAGCCTCAGTGTGACTTGGGAGTCCACTGGGTAGAACTTCTAGGACTTGCTGTTTGCAGGTGCTGGTAAGCCTGAAGGATTATGGAAACCCAGTGTGGGGAGAATGGTGGCTTATTGTCTTAGGGGAAGTGACATACTGAAAATTCCAGCAGACAGAGCTGAATGCCCTGAGTCTGTGCAGTAAATGAGTGTCTGTCTGTATAGTGCCTGTAGAGGGAATAAGCTATGTAGCATGGACCCCAGCACCTCACCGGCCACCCCCTTGCCCCTGTCTAGGGGCCAAGCCTCGGCAACAGTGGTTAAATTCCTGTCCCGGGGGACAGCAGTGTGATCACTCATGAGATGTCCCGCCTGAAGTGCAAAGGCAAACTGAGCATCTGGGCAACTAAAAATATCCCCTGGGATATTTTGGATATTTTTATATATCAAAATAGGGTACCATATCCCCAGGATATGGGTAGCACCCTGTGCCGACAGTGACCTCATGTCTCCCTTGCTATGGGAGACAGTGGCCTGTGTGATCAGGCCTGTGGGGTCACCCATAGCAAGGGGCCCAGAATGATTGCCTGGGACAGGGACAGGTGTCTCTGGCATGTTGACCCATCTCACTTTGAGCTCTGGGGTCAGAGCTGCAGCTGCACTTCCTGTTACTCTGGATCCTGTCCCTTCCAGGCTTTGGAGTTAAACCATTGGATCCCACACCTGTTTATATGTGATGTAATATTGGGAGAGCCTAACCTCTCTGCCAACAGGGTCACCAGACCCCTCTTGGTGATTTATTTGCAGTACTGGGGATTGAAACCACGGCCTTTGCACACATCCTAGCTACTACTTTTTTGAAATAACATCTTGCTCAGTTGCTGAATTATTCCGGCTGGGTTAGAATTTGGAATCTTTTTGCTTCAAACTCCCTGAGGACTGGAATTGTAGGTGTATGGCACCAAGAGATCTTGGCGCTTTGCAGTTGCCTCCAGCAAGTACATAACATATATGGGCAGCTGACTTTGCCGAGGGGAAAGTCATTCCCTGCTAGTTGTCCAGCTTTGCAGCAGAGCAGGAATTAACCCAGCACAAGCCATGCCCAGTTTCAGTCCCTCAACAGCCATAGTATGTTCCCTTTGCTCCTTGGTCACACTGCTGACATTCTTATGTCTCCTTGTCCTCCTGGGTTACCCCGACCTCCTGTTTTGTTCTGTCCTGATTTACTGCTGACACATTTTTTGTATTTCTGCAGCCTCAAGATGGTACTCATGTGGACAAGTGGTGACACCTTCAAGACAGCCTACTTCCTGCTCAATGGTGCACCCCTGCAGTTCTCGGTCTGTGGCCTGCTACAGGTGCTGGTGGACCTGGCTATCCTGGGGCAGGCCTACGCCTTCACCCACCATCCCCAGAAGCTGGTGCCCCACACAGCACACCCCTCCAGTGCCAAGGCCCTCTGAGGTGTTCAAGGAGTACAAGGACATGTGACTATCAGTGTGGGGCACTGGCCAGAGCCTGAGCTCCCTGTTCTGGAGAAGGGTCCTATGGTCCATGCAGGAGAATGGCCATGTGGCCATGTGGGTGCGAGTTCTCAGTCAGCCTCTGGGTGGGGTACTCAGGGCAGGTGGGTGAGGGCCAGCATTTCATGCTCACCAGCATAGGTGAGAAAGGCTGTCACACCCTGGGCTGGCCCTTGGGCATTTTTAAGGTGGTGGACAAAGTGAGTGCCCTATGTCCTCTTGGAAAACACTGACCTGACCCAGAAACAGGCTTGCAGTCATATAGTGGGGCTGTAGCCTCCCTGGGTAAGCCTGGAGGAAGAAGGCTTTCAGCTTCAGGGATAACAGGTGGGGATCCCAGCTGCAGGCAGCCCCGTCCTCACATTCTGCCCACCTTTCGTGCCAAGATATGATTCTGCTATGCTTGGAGGTAGGCACTGCTGGCCTGATGTGTCACTGTATTTTGTCCCTTTCTGTTTAACTTGAGGTCATGCCATTCTCAGCAGCCCTGTGCTGACCTGGCCTTTTCTGGGCGTAGAGTTCTAGATGCTTCTGGGTGGATTCTACAGGTGGTATCTTCCCTTCTTCTGGGCAGAGGGCCTCCTTCTGATACAAAGGTCTCTGCTGTTTGCATTCAGCACCAAAGCTCTGTTACAGCTACTGTGTATTTTGCCGTGGTTGGAGGGAAATCACAGCACTGTCTCCAACTTTTGAATTTCCCAGAGAACTCTTGAGTGTTTGAGTGAGGCTCTTACCTCGTTCTTTAGCTTATAAAGATGCTTTGAAAATGTGTATTTTTTTTAAATTGGAGGAAGATGTGTCTAGTGGTAATTCCCTCTAAATTAAAATGTCACTGATTTGCAGGCTGCAGAATGAATGTACTCCATGTGACAGCTTTGGGACAATAAACTGCTTGTAGACCCATTGTGGCCTGGGAATAGACTCAGCCAGCCTGGCAGGGTGGGACTTAAAATGGGTCAGGGTTGAAAGCCAGGCCCACTGAGGTGGCACAGGTCTGGTCATAGGAGAGTGCTTGATGAGTAAGCCAGCAGTCCTGGAGTTTCTGGATACAAGTTACCTCAAGGGTGATAGCCATGTGAGTCCAAGCCCTGTGGTAGTGACAAGATTACATACATCCAAGGATGTGGAGTCAGGAGGCTTTGAGGAATCCCTGGCCATCTGTGGCGCCGAGGAAGCTGAGTTACAGAGAAGCCACATTCTCTTCTCTGTTCAGATGGTCCCAGCAGGGCCTTCAGATGGCCACAGTGGTTCTGGCTCTGCTGCCAGTCTGGTTGGTGGTCAGAGGCAGCCATCCTCATTGTCATATGCAGGGACCAAGAGTGGAGCTCCCAGTGGAGAGGTGGTGAAAATAGTCACTTTTTAGCTCAGTCACATGACTGCTGTGCTGAACGACTTCAGTCACTTTGAACAGATGTACTCAGGAAGCAGCTAGTGTACTGTATGTCTTGCCAGAGTCCCACAGCAGCTGTTTCCTGTGGGGATTTAATTCAAGTGTGAGAGAGTGGGCTGGTGGGAATCTGGAGGGTTTGTGGCCCCTAAAACCAAACATAAAATAGACCTGCCCTGGCCCCAGCCTTTCCTGTGTGGGAGGGTGGTTCCCCTAGTGTCTTCAGAGGATGAAGGAGCCTAGGGGTTGGGTTGTCTGCTAGCTTAGCAAGAAATGTGTCTGTCTCCATCCCACTGTTCTCAGCAAGGATGGCTGACACCCCTCCTATCTTTTGACCCAGTCTGTCCTCTGGCAGTCTGATTCCTTGGTCTTGGGGACTCCTAGGTATTGGCCAAACTCATTACAGATCCCACCTGTCATTCCCCATCATTTACCTACCCTGCAAAGGACAATCTTGGGTTAATCTGAGGGGTATTCATGGTATAGGTCACTGGCCCTAACACAGGAGAAATTATCCTGTCCTTGGAAGATGAGTAGTGGAAGGGCACCCTAAACTCATGCCTAATGTAGGAGGTTGACAGTGTCTTTAGTGATCTGATGCCTGGCCTGCTGTCAAGCTTCAGGGCTGTCACTGAGAGCTTCCCACATGTGGAGCCCCCACTCCTGTGGAGGGCATATGTCAAGAGGAGACAGGCCTGAGCACAGGATCCCTTACGCACCCTCTGACTCCAGCCCAGCTTTGGAGGAAGCTCTGGCTCTCATGTGGACTTACCAGGTCCCTGAAGTTTTCCTACCATTTTTTATCACTGGCCATGACCCTGTCCTGTGGCCCAGTACAGAGGAGAGGAGGACTTTGCCCTGGGGAATGCAGGAGCCAGATGCTGAGCAATGCTGGTTCCTGAGTCTGGGTCATTGGCTAGGTGGGCAGAGTTTTAGCCAGGGTGCCACACCTGAATGGGCCATCTTGGAGATCTACTTCCAGGACTGAAATAAGGCTGATTTTCTACCTTAAGGAGCTTGTGTAAAGAAAGTGGGGTACCTTGAGAAGTAGCCATGTGGGGAAGTGGATTCTCCCATGTTTTATGGTTACCTTACCTGGCCCAGGAAGCATGCTGCTTGGTTACTGGCAGAAGACCATGTTACTTGTTTCCCCAAGTAACTTATATCCCAGGGCCTTTGGCTCCAAGCCATGACTCGAAATGAGTGAAGCCAGGTAACTGCATGCCAGTGCATTGCTGGGAGCAGGGAGAAGGAAGAGGGGTGAGGAGCTGAGGCCCAACCCATACCATCTATGAGAAGTCAGGCAAAATGGTAAGCCCAGCCTTGTCTTGGGGGTAAGGCTGAGTTTGCTGTGCACATCTGGACTGTGGACTGAGTCTGCACAACTAGGCTTTGAATCAGGGATGCTGCCAAGGTCAGATGTATTCTGGGTACTCCAGCCATAGGCATCTGCTGCCTTCACCTTTACCAGAAAAATTCTGATCCCTCGAATTCAGTACCCCAAGGACCACAGGTGACACTACTCCAGAGGAATTCAGTCAGGAGCTGTGCAGGAGAGGCCAGCATTTTTTTTATTGGATTGCAATAGAATCTCAGGAGTGTCTGCAGCTAGAAGGGCTGGACATGGGCTTTCCCCCACACCTGGGGCCCTGATGGAAGCTACCAAGCATTGGGTCTGGAAGGGTGACCTGCAGACAGTGGGACCCTGCGTGGTACATTCTAAGGCATTCAGTAGATCAGGTGTGATGGTAGAGCTGGTTAAAATGAAGGAGTACAAAGCAACGTGATCTGTAAAGTTCCATTTTCCCCATCCCTACAGAGAAGAGAAAGGCTTATACTTTGGGAGGATTTCCCCCCTCACCATGCCTGCAGTAGCCACCAGGAAGAGACCTATCCATCCTTTCCTCAGCCTGCAGCCAGGCCTGGAGAGAGGGGAGTTATCAAGTCTCAGATGTTCCAGTAGAGAAGATGTGTTCCAAAGGGATGAGCTATAGGTCCGCAGATCAGTGGGGAAGGAAGGGAAAGTTCTTTGTTCAAATGCCTACATGCAAAGCTTGAGCTTTGCCACCTTAGAGGATGCCGGGTCATCTGAGGAGCTGGTGTCAGAATGGAGGTCCAAGATGAAGAATCACTCTATACCAGAGGCTTATTGCTTTCTGAAGCCAGAGAACTGGCTCTCGCACCTCAAGGCCCTGGTGTCCCCAAGCTCGTTCAGGGCGACCACACGTCCCCAGCAGAGTTCGCCCTGCCGGGGTCTGGTGAGCTGTCCTCCGTGGCGGTGGTGGCTGAGCGTGTGCTGTCCTCACGTGTGCTGTCCTCAGGGAGCGCCGGCTCAGGGCTGTTGGCACGCTGCTGCTGTTCCTTGAGCTCCGAGTAGGAGCGTGAGAAGGTGTGGAAAATGGAGGTGACTGGGAAGGCCATGAGCAGGATGCCGCTCAGGATGCTGCTCAGTGCCACCACTTGGCCCGGCAGGCTGCGTGGCACCATGTCGCCGTATCCCACAGTGGTCATGGAGATGACGGCCCACCAGTAGCTGGCCGGCACGCTGGAGAAGTCACGGCGTGCGCCCAGCTCGCGCTCGGCCAGGTGCACGAGTGGTGCGAAAAGTGCCATGGCCACGCAGAGGAAGAGCAGCAGCAGCCCGAACTCACGCGCACAACGGCGTACGGTGAGGCCCAGTGAGCGCAGTCCCAGTGAATGGCGCGCCAGGCGCATGACGTAGAGCACGCGCAAAGCTCGCAGCAAGCGCAGCACCAGCCCTGCGCGCTCCAGGAGCTTGCTTCCCGCAGGCCCCGCTGCCAAGCCCACAAGCAGTGAAACGTAGAAGGGCAGGATGGCCAGGATGTCGATGATGTTGAGCGGCGTCCGCAGGAAGGCGCACTTACTTTCGGCCTGCAGCGAGCGCAGCAGGAACTCAAAGGAGAACCAGGCTACGCACACTGTCTCCAGCACGAAGAGGCTGTGGCATTTGGTGGAGCACTCACCCTGGAGAGGAGAGGGAAAATGTGGTTGGGACAGCATGCTCCCCTCCAGGGGAAGTGTGTCAGGTGCGGGGTGGGGATGGGAGTCTGAGAAGGAATCTTGTTGAAAAGGCCCAGTTTCTGTTTTCTTTGTCTTAAAGATGGAACAGTAGACCATCATGTTAAGTGAAATAAGCCAGACTCTGAAAGTTATGTCTGTATGTTTTCTCTTATATGAGAAACCAAACAAATAAGAAATGACAGGAAATTAGAAGATAAACTGTTGGATATTGAAGGGACTCAGAAGCACAGGAGAGGAAAAAGAGGGGGCACTGGGATAAAGACCTCAATATATTAAATGCATGCACTAATTTACCAAAACGAACCTCCTCGTTTGTATTGTCAACATGCACTAATAATGAAAAAAAATTTTAATTTAATTGGTTGAAGCTGGCTGATTAGAACTCAGAGAAGTGAAAATAATGAAGAACTAAGCACAGAGAAAGCCCAGAGCCAATAGCTTTGCCGCTGGACTCCGCCAGCAGACGGCTGATAACAAGTCTTCACCAACAACTACCATACACTGAAGTCCCAGCTCACCCTGTTAGGCCAGTATTTACCCGGATTAAAAACAAAGTTGTCATAAGAAACTCATATAAGAAGCCTGTAAGCTGAATACAGCAGCAAAGGAAAAGAATGAGTCTGTGACAAGTTGGGTTTATCCAGGGTAGCTAGTTTAGTATCTGAAAATCAATTAATATAATACATTATAATCATAAAAACTAAAAAATCGAAACAAAAGATTTTGACAAAATCCAACATTTTTTTCATGATGCACTCATCAAGCTAGACACGCCAAAGGGGACCACAGAATCCAGTAGCTGACTCAGATAGGGATTGGGTGCTTCCATTAAGATCACAGGTAAGACAACCACACCTGCTCTTGGCACTCTTCAACACTGTGCTGAAGGTTCCGGCCACAATAATCAGGCAAAAAAGGAATATAAGTTACCCAAGCTGGAAAAGAAGCAGTTAGACTTCATAGATGACACAACCACTAAAGCCACTAAAAATGGTATTAAAGTTAATGAGTTCAACAAGGTTGTTAAAACAACTTTAATATACAAAACTCATTTTTTTTTTGTACCAGGGATCAAATTTATGAATTTGTGCCTGCCAGCCAGGTGCTATGCTGCAGAGCTATATCCCTGGCTCCAAAATCAATTATTTCTGTAGTATACTTAAAATGAACATTTTGAAAATGAAGTTTTCCAAAAAATTGCATTCAAAACAACATGATGAGGTATGCCTATACTTCAGGCTTCTCAGGCAGGACGATTGCAAGTTTGAGTCTAGCTTCAGCAACTTAGCAAAACCCTGTCTCAAAATAAAAAGTAGGTTTACAAGTGTTTTGATTTGTTTTTCCCCTGGTGCCGGGGATTGAACTCAGGACTCTGTGCTTGCCACACTGGTGCTTATTCTACTGAGCTATCTCTCCAGCCCTCAAAAAGTAAATAACTGGAAATTGATTCCAAAGTCCCTGGGTTCAACTCCTAGTGTCACAAAAGCAATAAAATGCACAAGCTAGGATGTAGCTCAGTGGTAAAACACTCCTTAAAGCATTTAAGATCTACAAATAGCCAATAAGCAATGGAAGGATGCTTAACATCACTAGTAATGAGCAAAATGCAAAATAAAGTCACTGTGAGGATATTTTCACACCTAGTAGAAAAATAAAATCAAGTAGTCAGACAAATCCTGGGAAAGACTGAGGAGTTAGCTCGATGGTCTAAGTACCTGCCTGGCAAGTACAAGGATCCAGGTTCTATCTCCAGTACTGCATGCCATGCTGGCCCTGTGCCCATCCCGCCACCAAAACAGGATGAGGTGGTGAGCGCCTGTAATTCCAGCCCTGGGGAGGCTGAAACAGGATCACTACAACTCTGAGTATGTATCAAGACCCTGTACCAAATAAGTAAAATACTTTTTTAAAAACCATTAGGAAGAAGATAGAAAAACTGGAATTTTCAAGCATTGCTGGTGGGAATGTGAAATAGCCCAGTCACTCTGGAAAACAATCTGGCAAAATCCTCAAATGACCAACCACAGTTTCTGCCTAACGCAGCAACTCTGCTCAAAGGTATCTGTCTAAACAAAAAAGAGGCATATCTACACAGAACCCTGTGTATGAATTTTATAGCAGTGTCATTCATGAGAGATAAGAGACAAACCAACTTCACGCTCACCAATGGGTGAAGGTATGAACAAAATGGGTATACAATGGAATTCTGCTGGGTCATAAAGAGGAATGAAGCACTGGAGCCAACAAACGAAGCTTTCAAAGATGGTGTGAGAAAAAACAGATGCAAAAGATTCCATACTTCATGATTCCATTCATATGAAAGCTAAAGTAAGGAAATCGTCAGGAAGAATGGATTAAAGGCTGTGAGGGCTGCCTATGGTGGCAGAAGAGTAAGAGCACAGAGCTGCTTTAACCCTGAAATTGACTAGGGTAAGGGCTGAGCAGGTCTTTGAATACACTGAAAACCACTGATTGGATACTTTCAATGTGTGAATTATGGGGCATGTTAATTACATGTCAGTGGGATGGCTGAATCTCTGATGGAACAGCCAAGTTCCCACTCCAGGTGGTTCTGCTCACAGTACCTACCTCAGCAATCCTAAGTCCCCAGTCACTCTTTTCCTGTGTAGGGAACCTCAGTCTTGTACTTCTGAGCTCCTGGCTCTCTGCTTTCCAGGTCCTCAACCCACCCACAAGCCTACCCTTGTTGACTCAGGTCCTGTGTGCATCAGGAGACAAGCCTTGTGTTTGAGGTGTGGGAGGGGGCACAGGGCATAGCCACTGAGTGGAGGGTGGTAATGAGGCAGGATGAGCAAGGACAAGTAAGCCATGAGGCAAAAACTGAGAAACCACACACAAGGATGACTGTCAGAACATCAGGAGACCAACAGATAAAGGTTATCCTGCTCCCTAGGCATGTGCAAAATCAAAAGTACAAGACATTGGCCTATGTCCAGCCTTACTAGCTTTGCTGTTTTACTCTACCCACCCACCCCACAGCTTTGGATGCCAATCAAACCTTGAAAAACCTTGTATGGTCATCTTGTATGGTCCACAACTTCCTGTGGGAGGGCTGGGCAGTTACATTGTTGAGCCATGACTCTTGTCTATCCCAACTGTGAATCCTCCTGTGATCCCAGGACCTTAGGAAATTCAGCACCTGCCTCATCAGGGCTGTCAGCTCTTCATGGCTTGTTCTCGCTCTGTGAAGTATATTTTTGCTGCTTTTCCCTTCAAACACTATTCCTTTGTTACTCTTTTTGAGTGTCCTTGGGATATTAAGAACCTGGAAACAACTTTGAGGCTCTCTATCCCAAAACAGGAAAGGCTTGGACCTCCCATGACTAGCATGACCTTGGTTCAGGACAAGCCTGATGCAACCAGTGGAGACCAAGTTTAGGCTCAGCAAGCAGCTTTTAAGACCACAAAAATTTCTTGTGGGAGGGCCGGCGAGATAGCGAAATAAGTGCCTGCTTAGGCAAGCGCAGGGACACGGATTTGATCCCTGGAACCACATGTCACACTTGGCCCTACTCCTGGGCACCCTGAGCCGACGACTGAATCCAGGTGTGGTAGCACACACCTGTAATCTCAGCACTGGGAGGCTTGAAAACAGGAGGATCACTACGCGTCCAAGCTGTGCAGTGAGACCCTGCACAAAATACATAAAAAAGAAACAAAAATTCTTGTGGGGTATGAAGACAGCATGGATCCTGGTACACTGAGGGGTGAAGATGGGTGGGACCCTGGGGGCCTTCCCCAAATTAACCCATGCAGTGGGAGCTCTGTGCTTGACCTCCAGGATAATCTAATCTGTGTGGCTGTGTGCTCCAACCTGCTGATGAGAGTGTGGCAACACACCTGAAACAGCCTTCTCTGGCCTTGGCCTCAGCCAAGTTCGACTTCTGGCAAGTCAATGGGGTTCAGGGACCATGTCCATAGAGTTTACTACCTACTGATTTTAGAGACCCCATACCCCATACCCAGATGTCTGTGATGCAAAAGCTCTGGCCTCTGCTACATGTGAATTCTAGGATACAGTGGGGACTGAAACTCTGCTGGGCATTTCAGAAAAGACACAGGGCATTTATGCAGGTGTGCAGTCCATCTCCATTCTCTCATCCTTTTGTGCCCTGTGGCCCCATGGTAGTGGTACCATAGACATACTTTATGTCCCTGGGGATTCAGAGACCTAGGACAGGAGCACCAGGGCCTATTAATGTGTTCACTGAGTCCCCACTGGTCACCCACAGCTCATGTAGGTGGAGGGTTCCCATGTGGGGGCCCTAATGTGGGCTAGACCACTGGGTGGAGCCAGAGCAGAGGGCGTTAGCTGGGGTAGTCAGGAAAAAGCCTCTTCTAGATTTTTCAGCCCCCAAAACAGACCTTGACTAACAGTGATCTTATATGTCTGTCCTGCGTGGCCAAAAATCGGGCACAAAATAAGCCTGCACTCAACCTGGCCTGTGCTGAAATCCCTTCTCACCATGTCATTTTGAACTTCTGCTGGGCTTTTTCCTGGCCATGCGGTTTCTATGGTCACACTGCAGGCTGCAGTTGCCTTGTGCAGTCTAATTTGAGCTGTGCTTGTGTTCATGTGTGCTCAAGCCTGGGGGAATGAATGGTCGGGGTCCCTACCACAGAAGCCCAGGATCCCCAGACAGCTGGATTCCTCTCAGCTCTGCCTCCTCAGGGCTAAGCTGCCGTTTGCTGAATGCTCAGAGGTCTTCTGTGCTTCATTCAGGTCTTAATCATGAACAGCTGATCAGGGAGTTACTGAGCAGGCCCTGATGACAGCTTTCACCCATCACTCTGGTGCCAGAACAGAGGCAGGCCTCCGAGAGGTTTGGGGAGGCCCCTGAGAGCCCTGCAAACACTTCTAGAGGAGGAAGAGGAAGTGACCCCCCAACAAAGAGCTCCAAATCTCCACCCTATAACCTGTG